GTTGGAAAAGTGGGGGTCGTCTTGTACATGGGGGCGTCTTATTTTCAGAAAAATACGGTAGCTGCTTTCCTACTTATGGACCGTTGGGCAGGATTTGCAATGCACAATGTCAAAAATAAGCAGTGTTTGGAAACCCTTGCCAGAATTTGTGATATTGATTGTATCCACAATTGCTGTGTGTCACAGACTAATAGAAGATAAATTGGTGGTAACATGTATTTACCTCCTTCCCCCATATTCTCCTCAGGGCAATCCTCAAATCTAGAGGGTGGCCCTCCCAGATTGATTTGGGTTGCCCCCAGTTGTAAGGGAAACATCTCTTACTTGTGCAAGCAGAAAACCACTCCTTTTTGTTGGGTGTGGACCAAGGGCAGGGACTGTGGTGCCAACATGTGCCAATATGCCCACAGATTCTTCCTTGATGCCCCTTAGTCTCCCTGCATCATCTGATTTATTTTATTTTTTAAAAAGTTTCTTCTAATTAAAAAGATGAAATTGGGAGTTAACATGCTGCACAGTGAAATGCCAGCCTATGGCAGAGTCTTACAAAAGTCTGATAAGCAGTGTTAGAAAATAAAATTAGTGAGTGAAAGCAGCACAATGCTTTGTTTGGAAACAAGGGTAGTAAGAGGGCTAGAGGTGGTTGTCAGGGAACTTATTAGCTATTTTGTGCCTATACATTTTGCTCTTCACCATCCTAAAATCTGCTCACAGTAATATATAACTGTAATTAACTTCTTATTTATACAATGATGTATAGATACTTGAAGATTTTTTATCGCTCTTCTCCACTTTGCTATTGTTTTCTCTCCTTGTTTTTCATGATGAAATTATTAGTGCAATTAATTTATAACCCCATTGTGATTTCTCTTCACCTCTTGGGTGCAAGTTATTCAGACTGAATACTACTTACGAATCTTGGATATGATGTTTCTCCTGATGCGGAAGGTTTAGGCTTCTTTGCAACCACCTTGCACTTTTGGCTCATTTTGTATTTAGGGACCTATAAACCTCAACTCTTGTTCTCATCAGGGTTATTCTTAAAGTCACTTGCCTCCTACTTTAGTTGTTTGTTCAAATTTTCATTTGCTCCAGTCTCATTCAGTTGTCTGCCATCCGCTGATTACTTGGCCATCTGTATCTTGAAAAGTAATTTTGAATTAGGGAAAGTTTTGATTGATACCTTCTCTTCTTGGAAAATGAGATGGATTGTTCTATACTTTGGGGGTCATGGAGATAAGGAAAATAATCTTCTTTGAAGTATTATTTACTTTCTTTTATTAAAGATGATTTTTAATTTTGTTATTGTTTAAGTCATCTATTGAAGCCTTGTGCTGTGTTAGTGGCCCTTTAAAGCTTTGTAAAACTAACCACTGGATCTTATTAATCTTTGGCAAGACACACAGCACTGCTTTGTGGTTTCCTGTACATGGAGATCTTTTATGTTTGGCCATCCTTACTTTCTTCTGCAGCGTTTTTTAAAACATTCAGCAGATTGCATTTGCTTAATCCAAAAATAAATGATTCCACTGAGCCAGTATATGCTAATTAATATTATACTTAATCATGTTTAAGAGATTACCGTAATGTTAACATTGGTAAAGGGAAAAGGTTAGTAAGATAAAAAACAATTGCTGTTTTAGAAAAGGGAGAAAACTGAAATAAATCCTCTGACTTTTTAAATGGGCTCCTGGACTTTGTTAATAGAATGTTCGTTTGTTTGGAATGGAATGGAAGAGCAAGGAAAACACACTTGGTTGTGTTTTTAAAAGTTCCAAGGGTTTGATAATTGCTGATATTTCCTACTCAAATAATTTTGTGGAATAGGATTTTTCAGATTAAGATTGCCTGATCTCAACTGGAGAGCTGGTTCGTTGTACTAGTTAAAAGTACTAGGCTAGAAACTGGGAGGCTGTGAGTTCTAGTGCTGCCTTAGGCACGAAACCAGCTGGGTGACCTTGGGCCAGTCCCTCTCTCTCAACCCAGGAAAGGAGGCAATGGCAAACCACTTCTGAAAAACCTTGCCAAGAGAACTGCAGGGACTTGTCCAGGCAGTCACCAGGAGAGATGACCGACTTAAAGGCACCCCCCACCCCAAAAGGTCTCAGCTGCAAAAAAAAGAAGAACCGCTAGATGGCAGCAAACAGTTAAAGGAGTTTCTGCATCTTTTTGCTGCCATGTTTTTATGTTTTGAAACTGGTAGCCGAAGTTCAGCAAAATCAATGAGTTGTAGCAACTCTCAGGTTCATATGTGTCCCATTCCCCGATACACACCAAAAGAAACAAAATGCCCTACTTTTTGCATAGGGTACTCTGGGCAGTGTACGGCAATTAAATAAACCAATAAACATTTAAAAACAAGCATTATTAAAAATATAAAACAATCAATTATTGAAAGTACAAACCACCAGGCACAGGAGAGAGTAGATATTAACAGTGATGGAGGCATCTTAAAATGTCGCCAGTCCCCTGGGACCCCAGGCTTGCTGACATAGCCAGGTCTTGAGGGACTTACAGAACAATAACAAGGATGGAACTCTCCTCCCTTTGCATGTGTGTGTGTGGGGGGGGGGAGCAGAATGTTCCATAAGGTGGGCGCCATGGCAGAGAAGGCCCACCTCCTAGGACCCACCAAGCGTAAGTCCCTAGCAGACGGGACCAAAGCATACCCTTTTATGCACTATAAAAGCAGTTCATGGCAACTTAAAGGTCTTTCAGCAGAATGAAAGGCTTTTAAGGACAGATCAGCAGGGAAGAGGTAGACAAAAAGAATTGCCATTTCAATATAGTTCTGCATTTATGTGGGTGGTGTGTTGGTGTGTAAATCTCCAAGGCATCTGGTTTTGCTAGCTTACTGAATTTAGTAGATCATATTCTCAGATACATGTGGTGGGTGATGGCTGTACCAGGTGTCAGTTGTGGGTGAGCTGTCGGTGTTTGTTTTTTAATTAGAAACCCTTGTGAGCCAATTGGAAGCCCCTTTTGGACTTTTTGCAAGAGACAGAAAAAAATGAAATTATGATTTATGGATTTGATGATTAGTTAAAATAAGTTATACAAAATACATGTGTTACGATGTAGCTTTAGAGTAAGAGGTCACTGTATGATTTATCTATATCTGCTGTATAAGAGGTCAGAAGTCATTCTTTTTGTAATTTTTCCTTTCCTTTCTTTACTTTTCATCACTTTTGTATTCTTTATTTCTAACTTTCTTGTTCTCTATTTATCTCTTCGATTATTAGTTCTTGTTTGCTTTTATCTTTATGCTTTTATAACTTAATGAAGTTCTTATTTTAAAAAAGAAACCCTTGTGAGTCTGGCTTTCAAAGAAAAAGACGGAAAAAGTGTAGATTTGGAGTGCTATGACTGTGCACATTTTTGTGACTTTTAAAAGAGTGTGTATATTCCATTGGCTCTGGTTTATATCACTAGATCTCATTAATCCTTGCAAGCAAATTTACAATGAGATTAATCCTCACAAGGAAATATTTGAAGCCTTGATATGCATGTAAAATAGGAAGGAGAATATCCAGATTAATTTTCAAAGGGAACTTACTACAGCCTTTTTACTGTGAGCAAAGGCACTTGTCTATAATGATTTAAATAGTTGTTTTGCTATTTTCACTCCCAACATTCCAGTCTTGGCCTAACCCTATTTTTAAAGTGTTATTTTAAAGATCTTTTTTGTTAAATTTAACTATTTTAAATAAGTGCAAAACTGCTCCCGTGAAAGGAGAGGAGCTTTGTGATTCATCTATACTAACCAACGTTCTGCACAGTTGGCTTTTGGAAACAAGACAGAATGGAAAAAAGAAATCTCTTAAGCAGCATATAACGCATTATGGCAGCTTCTCCAATTAGAGTACCCTCCCAGAAGTCCTAGGCCAGCACAGTCATAGCTGAAGGTGCCAGAGTTTGAGAAGGCTGCACAGTGGTGAAGAAATTTAGTGCATAGTTTAACATATGTCTTCTTCCTCTTCTCCACCCATTTTCCTTCCAGGCCTATTTGATCAGTTGTGTATGGAACTGTTATCGCTACATTAATAACAGAAACAACTCCGATGTCCTGGTCTATATTACTACTAATGACACAGCGGTAAGCTTGTTGGGGTTGACTGGGGCTTTGAGAGTTTCCTGAGTTTGGATGGGAAGACCTGTTTTGGATGGTACAAAATCCAATGGGATGGGAACCTTCAGTGATGCAACCTTTGACCAGCATAGCTGCTGCTTTCCTGGGTACTTATAGGGGAATGATGGGTCCTCTTATGCTGAGAAAACAAGTTGCCCACATCAGACATCACTTTCACCGGGCTCTGGATTGGATCTGTTCACCAAGGAAAGATCAGTTACTAAGTTAAATCTTCATCTCTGGAGAAACTGTCCGTAGTTCTGGATAATGTATGTTTGGGAACATCGCCAGGGAATGCTTTTGTCTTCCTGTGTCATGCTTAGGCTTCACAAAGACACCTGGTTGGCCATTACTAGTAACAAGATACTGACTAAAAGATCTTTATAGTAAGTTCATGTACTGTTAAGCCATGATTTGATTTTAACCATGGTTTGTTGAATAATCCCAAATTAATGTGGTTCAGACACTGCACTTGGCCATGAATCTTTGGTTATAAACCATAATGGCTCATAGTACATTAAATCAAAAACAAATGAAGTATACTATGGCTTAGGTTGGTGTTTAAACCCAGATCTGACAGGATACTTTCAATGGTCTTATATTTACAGTTGCATTGTTCAGAGAGAGAGAGAGATCCTTACCTGCCAAGATGTGCCCAAGCCTTGTTCTTATGTTGCCCATCCTTCTGCTGCTGCTTCCCTTATTCTCTTTTCTGCATGCCGTTATTTAGCATTTCCTAGTTAATGATCTGTTACATGCCTTTTATCTAAACCTGAAGTTTTGAATATCAGAATTGGAACAAGCCAACACTTAACAAAACATCAAACTAAAATTTCAGATCGTAACTTGTTCCAACCTTGATGCTGAAGTAGATATTAGGGTAAATGGGACTTTAAAAAAATCTTATAGCAGGCATCCTGAATCTTGCATTCTCCAAAAATGTTGGGATGACAACACCCAATACTGGCTTCCAGTTTGGGGATATTGGCCTATCAACTCTGAACTGGATCTCTATCAGTAGGTGCTGGTTCCTATGAAGAGCAGGAATATCTACAGTCTGTTCCCCTTCTTCCCCCAAAAGAGTCTGTTCTTAAGCCTGGGAAGTCTTAAACAAAAAGAGTATGATCAGTGATAGCATTGTAAATTTCAGAATGTTCTGGATTCAGAAGTAACAGTGCAATTAAATCCTTTTGCTTCAATTCCCAGAACTGTCCACACCCTGATATGGAAGATCCAGGAACATAGACATTTTCCCTTAAAATGTGCTCTGAAATAGACCCAGTAAACCCATTTCTTGGAGATGTCTTTGTAATGACTCCCAGATGATCCTGCCACAGTACACTGTATATTTTATATGTCACTTCCCCTGATAAATGCATGTTCTTTGTCTAGAGAGAGTTCTTCTGTTTTCTAAAAGTTAGTATTGTCTCTATATGTAGGCAGCTATATATTCTCTCACACACTGCATGTCTTCTGGGGAATGCTTTGGCAACACAGAGAATTCAAAGCTATAAATTATCTCTGGGCAGTCCACTTCCATCTGTAACTGCTCCAGAGAGGGTTGCTTCCTGCACAGTTAAGCAGGAAGACAAACTGGGCCGTACTATTTGACCGATGATATTTTATTAAGAAATAGCTCCAGCTGTCCATAGTTTATGTATTTCAGATAGACTCTTGAAAAACTATGTTCTAAGTCCTGTGAAATATTCAATAATGGTTGCTTGCTCATTTATTCATTCACTTTGCTTGTATGGTGCCCGTTCCCAGAGCTGTGGTGGCTCACAGTATCAACATATAAAATGATTATCCCAAACCCTCAAATATATATAACAACAAAAGGAGCAAAACAAAACACAAAAACCAGCTTCAGTTGCAACATACCCTTTTCATGTCTAAGAACAGGTAGGTCTTCACAATTTTGCTAAAGCCCAAGAGGGAGAAAGCTGACCAAATCTCTGCCAGCAGGGTGCAGCTGCTGAAAATGTGGTTTTGGGTAGCTGTTCAAAAGGCGTGGAGAGAAGAAAGATCTCTAAGGCACTCGGCAGTGCAGAGGTCTTGGCAGATCTCTTGTCTCCCACCAACACTGAATGGACAGTCGTGTGAAAAAGAAAGCACACCCTCTTTGAGTTCTGTGGTTTTAGGTATCAGGACATCATAAAAGTCATCTGGTCCTTAGCAGTTCTCAGAAGTAGGTAAATACAACCTCAGATGAACAACAACACATGACATATTACGCCATGTTATCAAGTTCTGAATATCAAAAAAGCAGTTAACAAGCAATTTCCAGAAGTAATTAAGAAAGGAAATGGGCAAACCCAGTGTCTGTTTGAACCATGGCTTGGGCAAAGCTGACTTTCCCTCAGCTTCCAGAGCTCTTAAACCCACCGGAGGCCACTATTTTATGGCCTCTTCATGGGAAGCCTTTGTATGGAGTGCTTGTGGGCAATCCCAGTTCCTCCCCTTTATCCGGAGAGGAATTCTGAGGCGGCGATCCATTCACTGTCTCCTCATTCTGCTGTGGTCATTGGCTCCACTAAATGTGGAGCCGTCTTCAGTCTGCCATTGCTTCCCTGGAAGTCCCTCAGCAGCATTTCTCAAGAGCTTCACAAGTCTCATTCTAGCACGTTGCTACTCCTCAGTGGAAGGTGGACTGGTGCTCCAAATCACCAGCTGCCTCAGTCAACATTTCAAACTGAAGGGCCAGCTACACCATCACCTAAAAGTTGGGGAACCTAATGCAGAAATTCCAACACTGAGTTCATCTGCTGATGGTCTTTAGCTTGCACACTTGCTATCTCAGATATCATTATCATCAGAGCTGGAAAAGGCTGAAGTTCATTTGGCAGTCAGTTCAATGATTTGCCTTTCCATGTTTGCACTGTGACATTTGACTGAGAAATAACGGCTTCCTGCTGCTGCTAAGTGCTCATCCCAGATGTGCTGGTGTGAAAAGAATGTCTTCTGTAACACAACAGTGATTTAACAAAACAAAACAAAAAAGTCCACAACCAATGTGCAGAGTTTTATTTGAGCCAATTTCACTGATCAAAACATATGGAAACCACCTGTAGGGACTATTTGCTGTATTCCAGTTTGAATTGGCTTGTTCTTGAACCATTTCCGTTCTGAAATTGCTCCACTGAGTCTTGTTTTAATGTGTGATGCTGCAAATCAGCTTTAGGTTCCTTGGCTCCAAAGTTATAGATCTACTAGCTAAATCCACAACTGCATATGACAATGTAGAAGACATCTTCCTCTGCCCCATTTCTTTCAAAATTCCTGAAAGTGCGAGCTCTTTTTCAGAAGTAATTAAAAAAGAAATGAGATCTTCCTGGTTGTAATTCAAGGCTGAAGATGGTTTGCAAAGATCTGCACCTTTGTGAAAATATGAAAAGTCCCACAACATTGTTTAAGATTGAGGGGTCTACTGATTTAACTTGCAACCCTGTGGATCACTGGCATGTGTTAAATTTACAAAGCAGGAATATATATACAACACAAAAGGACTGACTATACAGCATCTATGAACTGTGAAAGTGTTATTTCTACCCAGTAATGTCTGTGAACAATAGTTGAAAATGCTCTGAAGAGGGAGGAGTTGTAGGAAAATGGTCTGAGGGTATACTGGAAAGTTACAGATTAAAATGTTTTGGTTTTAAAAAACGTTATTCATCAATTAATTTTCCTGTTAAAAGAAACACTCTCCTTATAAAAGTTGACTTTTTTCCCCAGTAGTAATTGTTCTGTATGTGGGCTCTTCCATTTTTTGGTGATTATCAGCCCACTCAAGTGGGGCTTCTGAGAACCCCTGCTTTTAACCATACATTTTTCAGAATCATCTTTCTTTCTCCTCAGGTGCTGTTGCCATCATATGATGACCCTGGAAATGGCCCGGGCAAAGATCCTCCTCCTCCTCCTTATGTGTCTGCCTAAGTGTGAAGTGCACCGAAAGAACCAATCATATTACTTTTCAGAACATCCAAGCAATAGATCCTTTCACTTTCAAGATGGACGTGCAAGATCCCAGATTTATTTATAGATTATTTTAAAAATGTGTTTTGTGTTTTTTTCTTTTGCCTAAAACATCACTGAACTGGCTTGGTTTAACAAAGTTTACTATAATCGCACTGTAGGTTTTTTCTTCATGTAACCTGTATTTTTAGTCCCACCCTACCTGTGTGTGGAAGTTTTGCTAGTTTAAATTGCAGAATTTCCAAATCAGTAGGAAGAATCATGTCTCAACTTACATCTCTCAGCTGCATTTAGATTTACCCTTCCATTAATCCAGAGGCAGGCAAACTGTAGTCACATCACCCTCCCCACCAGCAGCTTATATCACACTGTTGACGTTTGGAGGCAAAATGACCAAATTTCAGAGGAATTTCAGGCTGTAGGGTGGATCAAGGGCAGAGAAAAACATTATTTATCTCCCTCCCCCACAAATAGGGACATATGTTCCTTTTCCTACTCTAACCCCCCCAACTTAAAAAAAATAGAACAACATTATGGCCCTGCTATTCCAGAAATCATAGGTCATTAAGAGGGATCCCATGGTTCTTCAGGCAGCCATGTCGCATTCTTAAATATTGTTCATCCATGTGTAAACTGAATGGCTCTTTCTGTTCATAGAATGGACAGGCTCAGACTCCCTTTTGGGGAACAAAAAAGTGTCTCTTTTTTTTTCTGAAATAACTTTATTAGGTTTTTTTAAAATAATGAGATAAAAACAAGAACTAATTAAGATAGAAAGTAGAAAAGAGAAAAAGTAGAAAGTAGAAAAGAATGAAAAAGAAAACAAGATCAAAAGTGCAGAAAGAAAAAGAAACGCAAAAGAAAAGTGACTTCCAACTTTCTTTTACAACAGATATACATATAAAGTTGCTTTAAGCTCTTACTCTAGGTTTACAACATAACTTTCATTTTTTCAATTGTCTACTATTATTTCTAATCAGGGATAGAAGAATGTCACTCTCCTCATTCCCTTGTAGCTCCTGATCCTGTGTCAATTCCCACATTTTTCCAGAGCCACTTTACAGCACAGCACTGATAAAAAATTACTGCAAATCACCTCCGTGTTATAGAGGAAGAGGTAGAAACCTTGGCTCAACATCTTAAAAGTTTCTTTACAGCAGGGCTTGGTTACCAGTCAGCTCTTCAAGCATCCAACAGCATCCTGCAGTCTTCTCCCCAAATAATTAAACATGAATAGCCAAAATTGCTTCATCTCTAAACTGCCTGAGCAAATTGTGTGAAATCTTGAGGATCTCATACCCAAGAACTCAACACAATCACATGAGAAGGTGATTTTTGTGTAAAGTAAAAAGGAAAGTTGTTTAAAGGTGAACTGTCTTATAGGATGGACTAAATTTGATGTGTTCCAGTATGGTCTTAGCTGACAGCGGCTTTCTTCAGTCTGATGTTTCCATAAAAACTGAACCACAGTTCCCATTATCCCCAGCTGGAATAGCCAGCCACTGTGCTGACTGGAGGATATGAAAAGAGTTGCAATTTAAAACAGTGGGAGGGTGCCAGGCTGGGAACTACAGATCAAGACATTTAATCTACTCCCTCAAGGGCAAATTGAGCCAATCTCTAATACAGGTTGTCCTCACTTAACGACCACAATAGGGACTGGAAAATTGGTGGTTGAGTGGGACAGTCATTAAGTGAGTCACCACATAACCAGACCTGATTTTACGACCATTTTTATGATGGTCATTAAGCAAATCACCACAGTTGTTAAGCAAATCACATGGTCGTTAAACAAATCCAGCTTATCCAATGGACTTTTTTGCCAGAATTCACTTAACAACCATGATGATTTGCTTAACAACTGATGTTAAAAAAATATCACAAATCACAATCACTTGACCGTGGGGGATAATGCAACGGTTTGTGACAGTCGTAAGTGCGAGTACAGGTTGTAAAGCACTTTTTCTGAGGCCATCGTAACTTTGAACTGCCATTAAATGAACCATTGTTAAGCGAGGACTATCTGTATAGTGCTTCAGGTTTCTTTATCCTGAGGTCAAGCTATTCATTTTCCTGCTGTCAAAGTTCTAGCAATATCCTTTTGCCTACTTAAGGAATCCTGCTCAGCAGTTACGAATAATGGGAACAGACAGTGTTTAAATATCATTGATTTAAATAGATGTTTTAAACAACTTTTCAAAATCCTTCCCTCCCCCACTGAAATCAAGGGTAATGCTCATATCCTCTGTGACTTTGGATCAGACTATCCATTATTTCAGTCACTTTGTCTAAGTGAAAGCTAACTGAGCAGTCAAAATGTTTGTGATGTTTTGGGAAATTAAATATGCCATTTTAGGGTCCCTGTACTAATGCTGGAAAGAGCACTCTTAATGGTTACCTTGACCACATCATTCTGTGTGGGTTCTGCTGTCTGCTTTAGTGTAAGAATTTAACACTCCTATTTGTTTGCATTTGGATAAGTCCAGTGACAGTGCTAATGCCTGGGACTGTGGCAAGTAGTAATACTAATGCTTTCAATATGTCTTACAGCCATTATCATATAACTTCGTAACAACCTTATACGGTAGGCCATTATTTCCATGTCTCATTATGTTATTTCGAATACTCATAAATAAGCTGCCTAGAGTTGCCTTCATGACTGAGGCAGCATACACATTGACTGAAAGAATAAGTTAATAACATCATTCTTACAAGGGAACCATTAAATCAGTTAAACATAAATATGACTATCTTCAATCCTACTGATTTCAAACCTGTGTTTCTTAAACATACTGGTGTAGGTTTGCCTGAGAAGTTGGAATATAATCAGAAAGCTATAAATCAATAGAATTATTGTTTACTTTTCATTCCTTAAAAATGGAATCCCTCTCCCTTTCTGAGAGGTTCATGCATTACACTAAGCCATAGTTTGCTTAAATGAACCACAGTTGGCTTTGTACACATGCCAACATTAAGAAAGCCAGATTGTGGCTGGCTGTGATATGTAAACTCAAAAAAAAGATTATGAAGAAGCTGGGGACAATTGTTCCAGGACACTTCTCCATTTGGCCTATGCATAAAACAGATTATATATTTATCCCAGCTGTTGAAAATCGTTGGTAGAACACATGCCTTAAATGCAGTACATCAAAGGTTCAGTTCTAGTCACACTCACATAATCTTCCATTTTTCCCCAACAGTTTTTGAAATGTTTGTGGAACTGGGAAACAGAACTGGTGGGTAATGGAATGAGAGCACTGGAAACAGCAAATTTGTTCCTCCTTGGGTGATTTAAAAGAAAGAACTGATAGATGCCCACACTTCCAGTGCAGGCAATTTGTAATTATGTGCTAACTTGCTGATTAGGCAATGAAGTGTATCCTACTTGCTAAATCAATGCACTGACCAGGAATTCTCCACATACAGTGGTGCCTCGGATCACGAACGCTTCTGTTCACGACCAATTCGGGTCACGAACAGCTCCGGTCGCAAAATTTTGCCTCCTTCCGCGAACGCCGGATCGGGTCACAAACAGGATCCGCAGCCATTTTCCCTCCCGTGACACGATCCGCGGCCATTTTCCCGCTCCTGACATGTGGTCGTAGGGAGGGGGACTCTCCCTCCAAGCAATAGCCGCCTCCCTGTCCT